TATATATATTTTTATATATTTATATATTTATTTATATATATATATTTATATATTATATTTTTATATATATTTATATATATATATATATATAAAATATATTAATAAAATAAAATATATTTTTTTATATTTTAATTTATAATATAAATATAATATTTATATTATATATTTTTATATATATATTATTAAAATATAATTTTAAAAATATATTTTATATATATATTTTAAATTTGTAAAATTTTAATTAAAAATATTTAAATTAATTTTTAATTTTTTTTTATATTTAAATTTTTATTTTTTTATTATTTTAATTATTAAAAAAAATTTAAATTTTCAAAAAAAAAAAATCTTGAAAAATTTGAATAAAACCTTTGGTTTTACAAGGGAATAGTTTTTAAAATTTTTTTAAAAAATAAATATATTTTAATTTTTTAAAAAATTTAATAATAAAAAAATAAATATATATAATTTTTTTTTTATTTCAGAATATTTAAATTATTTTATAACCAAAATTTTTATTTTATTAAATTATTTTTTAAAAAAATTTAAAATTTAAATTTTATATTTATATATTTTATATATTCTAATATTAAAAAAATTATTAAAATATTATAATTAATTTTTAAATTTTTTTATATTAAAGATATTTTTTATTTAATTTTTATAAAAAAATTTAAAATTTTACCAAAAAATTTAAAAATAAAATTATAACCTTTTTATAAAAAATTTATTTGTCTCCAAAAATTAAAATTTTTTCAAAAAAAATCCCCTGGGAAAAAAAAATTTAAAATTTTTAAAATTTTTTTTTATAATTTTTTTTTTTTATTTAAGGGGGGAAATTAAAAAAAAAATTTTAAATTTGGGGAAATTTTTAAAACAAAATTTTCTTTCTTAAATTATTCATTTAACAAGAGCAATTTTTTTGGGCCAAAAAAATAAATATATTTTAGATTTGTTTACAGTAATTTAATATTAAACGAACACAGTGAAATATATTTTTTTCGTTAGTTCAGAATGATTTTGGCGAAATTATTGCATACACAAATTTTCACATTGTCCTATATGGCAAGATGAGCGTTGCTATTTAAGCCAAGATCGCAAGTTCTGCCTATTCGGCAGAACTTGCGATCTTGCTTAAATAGCAACGCTCATCTTGCCATATAGGACAAGTGAAAATTTGTGTATACAATAATTCCGCCAAAATATTCTGAACCTAACGAAAAAACTATATTTGATTGTGTTTGTTTAGTATTAAATTACTGTAAACGTATTTAAAATATATTTCTTGGGTTAGGGCTAAAATAAATTACTCTTGTTATAATAAGGTTAGGTAAGTTTTCTAAGATTGTTTTGGTGTAAAAATTAAAAATTTTTACATTAACATTATTGAAAAAAATATATCTTTTAAACGTATAAGAGAAAATTTCAGAAAAGAGTTAATTTTAAATGAGTTTCTTGTTAATTGACCAGTTTTACATATTCGGCACGACATATATATATATATTTATATATAAATATTATATATATATTATAATATATATATATATAATAATATATAATATTATATATATATTAATATATATATATATATATATATATATATATAATATATATATATATATTTAATATATATATATATATTTATATATATATATTATAATATATATATGCAAAATAACCACTGTGAAAAATATAAAGAAGTTCCAAGCGCTTTCGTGACTACTCACATTATCAGGGAACAATGAAAGTAAAGCATCAAAGGAAGGTATGTGAAGGGTAGCCCACACCTCACTATCAGATCCCACAACAACGAAACACCTGACGCGAGACAGCAGGCCCGCCGGCCGAGCTAGACAGGTCCTTCATACAACCAACCAACAAACTATTCTACCCAAGAAATAAGAAATTTAAAAAATTATTATTTGTCCAATTTATTATTAAATTCTTCCCAGATTCTATTAATTATAAATGGATCTAATTTATATAAACCGAAGGAAATATTCATATTATTGTCAAAACTGCTTTTTATAAAACAAGATTCAATTATATTCCTATCGACCATGGACTTGCTTGATACTACTTATGTGGGAGTGAGGAAGAGCCAGTTTTGGGTGTCCGAGAATTTCGTGAGGCAGTAGGTAGAATGAAAGGGGGTAAGGCAGTTTGGATTGATTGGAGAAAGATAAAAATGTTAAAAGCAGGTGGTAATATAGTTTTGGAAACGTTGGTGCTTTTTCTAACAAATGTATGGAAGAGGGTAAGGTACCTACGAATTAGCAGAGAGCATGCATGGTTCCTCTGTATAAAGGCAAAGGGGACAAAATAGTGCAAAAATTATAGGGAAATAAGTCTGTTGAGTATACCTGGTAAAGTGTATGGTAAAGAACTTTGTCCACGGAAGTAAAGAGGGGAATGTGTGTGAGTATAGTTATAGTAATGCCCTTACATGGGTGTGAAACATGGGTGGTGAATATTGCAACGAGGAGAAGGCTGGAGGCAGTGAAGATGTCATGTCTGAGGGCAATGTGTGGTGTGAATATTATGCAGAGAATTCATAGTTTGGAAATTAGGAGGAGGTGCGAGATTATCAACACTGGTCTGCATATGGAATGTTTTAAATTTTTATTTTTGTTCACGGTTGCTATTTTACATATTCTTTGGCTGCTGAATGTAAATATCTAAATCATTTTGCTCTATCACGTAAGAATTTTGAATAAGATACAAATTAATGATAATAAAAAATGTGAATCTTTAATAAATTGTTAATTTATTAAAATAAGGCAAGTAATCATGGAAAAGCACTGTCTGTTAGTTTTAAGAACATTTGAATTCCACATCAACATTAATCATATGAAATTATTTTATTAAAATCATATGCTCCTAATGGTTAGCCTACGCACTGAATCAAAGGAAAGAGGAGCACTCTAATTTTCGCTTGTGCTGTGCATCGAGATCATTACGTTTCTATGACCAGCAGTAATCCATCATGCTGACATTCCATTTGGCCTGGTATCGAGTTTCCATGATGCAAATATCCTGATGGCTCTCCTTGTTCCTCTCTGTAGTCTCCACAATTGTTGGGAAAATAGTCAAGATGTGAGTGCAAAACGTGCATCTTCACACTCATTCTAGACCCAAGTTGTTGGAAACTTGAAATCAGGTCTTGGATCATTTTTTTCATATTCTGGGGAGCGTCTGTTTCCCAGGAAGTTGTGGACAATCTGCTTGAATGAAAAACAGACATTCACCTCGACACCTGCTAATGCTTCATCAAAATGCTTGTCCTTCATCAGTTCCCGAATCTGAGTGCCAACATAGATTCTTGCCTTTAAGTACCTAGATGTGATTAAAAAATTTTTTTGTTTTTGTTTTTGGTCCAACTTCAATAAAATTTTATACTGTGATTTAACCAGCATTTTGCAACCTACTTCCACTGGGGAATCCCGCTTACCAGTCACTAAGCCCTCGCCTTTTACATGTCCCTTTCCACCTGGCGTTAGTATATAAGCGCCAGCCTCCTTGCCTTTGCTCCAGAATGTCCACGACTACGGTGCTCTCCACACCAGCTCCAAGGCTGAGGGACTGATTACCTCATTTTCTGTATATAGCTCTACTGTCTTCAAATTATGTTCCAAGAATTTGTATTGATAAAGCTAATAAATGGCGATATGTCTACAATAAAGATACTCAGATGTTGCCCATGTGTTTAAATATCTTCTTGCCGGTACTGCATACTATTCTTGTACAAACCAGTGTTATGGAGAGGACTGAGGACGGGGTGTTGAGGTAGTTAGGACGTGTGGAGAGGGTGAAAAAAATAGAATGTCTTCGAGAGTGTAGGGAAGTGGAAGGAAGGCAGGGTAGGGGTCGGCTTAGGAAAGGTTGGAGGGTTTGGGTTAAAGAGGTTTTGTGTGAGAGGGGCTTGGACTTCCAGCAAGCATGTGTGACCGTGTTTGATTGGAGCGAATGGAGACAAATGGTTTGTAGGCCTTGACGTGCTGTTGGAGTGAGCAAAGTAACATTTATGAAAGGATTCAGGGAAGTCGGCAGGCCGGACTTGAGTCCTGGAGATGGGAAGTACAGTGTCTGTACCCTGAAGGAGGGGTGTTAATGTTGCAGTTTTATAACTGTAGTGTAAGCGCGCCTCTGGCAAGACAGTGATGGAGTGAATGATGATGAAAGTTTTTCTTTATCGGGCCACCCTGCCTTGGTGGGAGACGGCCGATGTGTTAATAAGACAAGCGAAAATTTTGACTATTTAAGCCAAAATCGCAAGTTTCATCTCTTCCGTAAGACATATACATATAAGTATTACCTAATAAATCGAATCGTCTAGTTTGCCCTGTTCATCAAGGGTTCATATTGCCGTATAAGCCGAATGAATTTTTTTTTGCCGTAAATCAATGGAAATCGATCTGAACATAACGAAAATGATATATCATAGACTTAATGAAAATTTAAATATTTTTAAGTAGATCAATGATATATACATAGTATTCTTTAACAAGAAAAGTTGTCTTAGTTTTAGAGAGGTTAGGAGAGGGTTCTATGTTTAAGAAAAAAATTACCTATAAATCTGTAAAAAAAAATTATGGGGAGGGGAAAGTAAATTTTTATGTGTGCTCAGTGTATATGGCAAGTTCGGCTTATTTAGTACCATACACACATACAAGTGAACCAGTGAAGAGACGGGGCCGAGAGCTATGACTCAACCCATGCAAAAACAATTAGGTGAGAATAATAAGGTGAGTATACAAACACACACAAATATATATAATCATATTCTCATATATGTTGCAAACATATATTTATCATATTATCTAAACATTTACTTCATAATTTAATAATAACACTTCTCTTTGTGTTTTTGTAACAAAAATCAACAATGAAATTTCAACTTGGATGCAAATTTGATTATAAATTTATACATATATTTTATGTTCCAGAAGAAAACTGAAAGTTCAGATTCAGCTGGACAGCAACTACTGTCAGATATGTTCCAGGAACAACATGAGTTACAGGTAACTTTGGTATCCTGCAGTTACTTTGATAATTATCTCAGTGTTATATGACAATTACATTATTTTGTATGGTATGTAATATATTTACATTATTTGTTGCCGCTATTTTGTTTTTGAGTTTTACTGTATATTATTATTTTTTATTTTTTTATCACACTGGCCGATTCCCACCAAGGCAGGGTGCCCCGACAAAGAAAAACTTTCACCATCATTCACTCCATCACTGTCTTGCCAGAAGGGTGCTTTACACTACAGTTTTTAAACTGCAACATTAACACCCCTCCTTCAGAGTGCAGGCACTGTACTTCCCATCTCCAGGACTCAAGTCCGGCCTGCCAGTTTCCCTGAACCCCTTCATAAATGTTACTTTGCTCACACTCCAACAGCACTTCAAGTATTAAAAACCATTTGTCTCCATTCACTCCTATCAAACACGCTCTCGCATGCCTGCTGGAAGTCCAAGCCCCTCGCACACAAAACCTCCTTTACCCCCTACACTCTTGAAGTCACTCTGTTTCGCTCCATTCTCTCTACATGTCCGAACCACCTCAACAACCCTTCCTCAGCCCTCTGGACAACAGTTTTGGTAATCCCGCACCTCCTCCTAACTTCCAAACTACGAATTCTCTGCATTATATTCACACCACACATTGCCCTCAGACATGACATCTCCACTGCCTCCAACCTCTCCTCGCTGCAACATTCATCACCCATGCTTCACACCCATATAAGAGCGTTGGTAAAACTATACTCTCATACATTCCCCTCTTTGCCTCCAAGGAAAAAGTTCTTTGTCTCCACAGACTCCTAAGTGCACCACTCACCCTTTTTCCCTCATCAATTCTATGATTCACCTCATCTTTCATAGACCCATCCGCTGACACGTCCACTCCCAAATATCTGAATATATAATAATAATAATAATATCTTTATTTACTACAAGTACATGTACAAAGTATACAGTCCTAGCTGACATCAATGATATACTACTATACAGAAAGCCGTTTGTTATGCTGAGCATTTCGGGCAAATTAGGTCAGTTTTGTCCCAGGATGCGACCGACATCAGTCGACTAACTCCCAGGTACCTATTTTATTGATGGGTGAACATAGACAACCGGTGTAAAGAAACACGCCCAATGTTTCTACGCTCTCTGGGAATCAAACCCAAACCCTCGCCGTGTGATGCGAGAGTTTTAGCCACCAGGAAATTGGGCACCGATATATGTATTGCATAAGTGTTGTAATAAATGACACATATCAAATACAGTACGGTTTTCCCAGGAAATTGCTGTATAATTCACACACCATCACTCACACACTATCACTCACACACTAAAAACATCTCTATACCTACAAGGAGTCAGGGAAAATTTACTGAGAAAGGTACTGAGGCTGAAAAAAGGACAGTTAACCGTACAGACGGTAGCCACGACACTGACGGGACACAGAAATACCTTCTGTTAATATTTTAAACTGTTAAACTATCTATTGTGTTATATTCAACAGTCGTTCATTACAATTTAAATATACATTATACACCTTTACCCTTGATATATCTTTAATAAGTTTCGAGAATATATTTACTTCCGGAGCCCGACCATGGGCCAGGCTCCTCTGGTGCTAGCCAGGTCAACCAAGCTGGTGCTGCAGGAGGACCGCTGCCCTACATATTCATCACAGTCTGGTTGATCTGTCACCTAGTGTAGGTACTTGTCCGTCTTCCTCTTGAAGACTTTTACACTTGTTCCACAAATGTTTCTGATATATTCTAGTAGGATGTTGAATAATCCCGGGCCCCGTATGTTGATACAGTGTTCCGTTATTGTGCCTTCTACAGCCCTACTTTTCACTAGGCGTATTTGCACTTTCTCCCATATCTCTCGCTCCAACATATTGCTTTATAGGTGAGCAGATTTGGGACAAGGGTGTCTAGTACTTTCCAGGTATATATTATCATGTATCTTTCTCTCCTTTACAGTGAGTAGTAATTTAAGACTTAAAGGCGTTCCCATCAATTTAAATGCTTTACTGGCTCAGTGTGTGCAGTAAACGATCTGTGTATTTGTTCCAACTCTAATATAAGAACATAAGAAAGTAGGAATACTGCAACAGCAACAGGCCTACTGGCCCATACAACCGGTTCAAGCCAATGCCTTAAGGTAGTCAGGTCAGGTCCCATTCACTAAGGAAAGAGCACGGCCAAGTCCAACTCACACCCACCACACACACTCATGTATTTATTTAACCTATTTTTAAAACTACACAAGGTCTTAGCTTCTATGACGGTACTCGGGAGTTTGTTCCACTCATCCACAACTCTATTACCAAACCAGTGCTTTCATACATCCTTCCTGAATCGGAATTTTTCCAACTTAAAACCATTGCTGCCAGTCCTGTCTAGGCTAGATATTTTCAGCACGCTTTTTACATCTCCTTTATTAATTCCTGTTTTTAATTTACACTCCTCAATCATATCCTCCCTAATTCTACGCCTTTCTAGGGAGTGCAGATTCAGGTCCCTCAGTCTATCCTGATAGGGAAGATATCTGAAACATAGGATCAACATTGTCATCCTCCTTTGCATGTTTTCCAATGCATTTATATCCATAATCTGAATAAGACCTAACCAAAGATATATAAAGTTGAAGAACAACCTGAGGACTTCTATTATTTATACTTCTCGATATGACGCCAAGGATTCTGTTAGCTTTATTGCGATAACTCATGCACTCTTGTCTTGGTTTCAGATTACTGCTAACCAGAACTCCTAAATCCTTTCCACAATTAGTAATATTATGATCTACATTATTTAGTTTATATGTGGCATGGTTATTGTCCTGTACAACATTTAGCACTTTGCATTTATCTCTATTAAACTGCATCTGCCACTTCTCCGATCACTGCATCAGTCTATTCACATCATCCTGGAGTGCTCTAATGTCCTCATTAGAATGAATTGGACGGCCTATTTTGGTGTCATCAGTAAATTTGCTTATATCGCTGTTTATTCCTTCATCTATGTCGTTTATGTAAATTTCTTTGAACGCCGCCGTTAGCACGAAGCGATATTCTAAATGAGGGAGCACTAGAGATTTGAAAAGTGTCACCACTGGCATTATTTCCCCCCTTGCTTTGAATGTTCTCCTTGTCCACCCCGTCATACTCCTGGCTGTCGTGATATTTATATTACAATGTTCTTTGAAAGAAAGTTCTGCTGACTTAATTCTCAAGTCTTTCACGTGTTCTTTAGTAACACTTTTGTCAAATGCCTTTGCAAAATCTATTTATATCTCATTTGCACTTCAAATGTCTTCCAACGCCTCCTTAATTCTGTCATAGTGGTTCAGTTACTATGACAGGCATGATCGTCCTGCTCAAAAATCATGCTGGTTTGGGTTATGCCGATTGTGCTGTTCCATGAAATTTGTAATCGGCTGTCTCATTACTTTTTCGAAGATTTTTATGAAGTGGGAAGTTAGCGCTACTGGTCTGTAATTTTTAGCTAACGCTTTATTGACTCTCTTATGCAAAGGAGCTTTATGTGCACTTTTTTCAAGTCTGCTGTATTTACCTATATCTTGGTTCTTTTTCCAAACAATACTGAGAGCTCTTGTTTGTTGTACTTCGCACTTTTTTTTATAAATAAAGCATTCCATGGATCTGGTCCAAGTACTGAGTGGATTGGTATGATATCAATTTCTCTTCCGAAATCTATGGAATTGGTGCTGATATGAGTTAGCTGGTCTGTGCAGCCTTCCGTTTGAGTGAAAAATGCTTCTGCATTCTCTACCCTGATGTCATTTCGTGGACTGCTGAACGCCAACTCATACTGATCCTTCAGAACTTCGTTCATTTAATGTTCATCGTCAGTATAAAAGTCTCCTCTCATTATTTACTGGTCCTATTCTACAGGTAGTTCTTAGATTGGATTATGCATATGAATAAAAATATTTTGAATTTGTCGCAGTATCCTGGATGGCCTTTTGTTCCCTTTGTGTTTCTTCTGTTTGGTATGACAGCCTAAGTTTTTGCTCTAAATCAGTGATCTCTGGGCTAAGACTATCTTTCCTCTGTTGCGACATTGTATGCTTCTGCATTCAGGTTCTACAGGCACTGGTGAGGACTTACAGTGCTCATGTTTGTTTCCCAGGGTATGTCTGATAGTTCCTGGAATTCCAAGCACTTTTGTGATTTCTCACATTATCAAGGAACTGCAAATAATAAAAAAAAATCAAAAGGAAGACATATAAGGAATGAGACTACACCTCACAGTTACCTTACAACACCTGATTTTTTATGATGGCGGAAGTGAAACACAACTTATGTTCTACCCAAGCATTAAGAATTTTAACATGTCTAATGTATTTTGAATTCTTCCCAAATTTTATTTATTTTAAATGAATCCAATTTGTATAACCCAAAAGCAATATTTATATTATTATCAAAAGTATTTTTAATGAAACTTGAATTTATTATATTCCTCTCAATTATGAACTTGCTAGATACAACTTTCTCAGCCTTTGAAAATCAGTTAGATGGTTAAAATCTCTTAAATAAATAAACAGAGCATTAGAATTTTGTCTACTTCTAATGCTATATTTATGTTGCTTTAATCTTATTTCATGACTTTTACCAGTATCACCGTAATAAACTTTATCATATATTTTACAAGGAATCTTGCAGACACAACCTTCAGTATTTCATGGAGAATTTTTTGTCAAAAGTTTTTAACTTTATGAAGATTTTTATATACAACTTTGATATTTAAATTCTGAAGTAGGAAAGGCATATCAACCAAGTTTTCATGGTATGGGAGAACCAACATATTTTTAGTTGAATAAGGTTGGTTGTCTTTTTTTGGATTGTAAAAAGTATTTCTAGCGTTTTTAAAAGATTTGTCAATTACATTTCTTGGGTATTTCAAAAAAGCGCAATTAAATTAAGCCTAATCCAACAAAATATATTTTAGATAAGTTTACAGTTATTTTATATTAAACG